AAAAATTGGAATTCATTGTCTAAAAAACCTCAAACTAAAACAAAATAGAGAATATTAACCGGCACTTATTCACAACAACAACAACAACAAATAACTGAATAAAAAGAGATACAAATGATTTGGTTAGCATCACTTCATATCACTCTAAGTACACGCGAGCTTTAGCGTGTCTGATTGCATACGTACGTGTGTACGTCAAGACACGAAAGGGTAATTGAGGTTTGATAACCCATAGATTATGCAATTGTAATAACGCTTTCTCTTAAGTCATTAAGCCGTAATGACTTGAGAGTGGAGTCATGATGTATCTCGATTACACTCAGTGATCACTGATGCATTTTTATCCGGATGTACACATGTACACAGACAAAATTAAGCATACAATTACTGAGAATGACACAAGAAAAATCAACGAAAGCAAGCCGAACCTTCTTTGAAGTTACCGTTGCTGAAAGAAAACAGAGTCAGTTAGCTTTATCGACTTTGTACCAGCTTAAATTTGTTGTAAAATGGAGGCTAAGGATAAGAGGCGAAAGATAATTCGCTTCTACCTTACCAGAGCAAGACTGTGTCGACTTGAACATCCTACTAAAAGCAAAGGACTGCAGAGTAACGGAAACTGTCCATCGTCTTCTGGAGAAACCTACCTATGAATCTCTTCATTACACACTTCCGTATGCAACGAAAATTGCTAAGAAAGTCAGCCATATGTTTTATATAATAACAAGTACAACGGATAGCTGGATTTCGATAAATCACCTGAGATAACATTATTGGGGAGACTTTAATTTTGTATGAAAGTTCATTTTGAAGATATCCGAAAGTCAATCTCACCAGAAGCCGACCGTCGATTCCATATGTACTGTAGCCGTTTGGCTCTAAAACGACGTTCAAGTTAAAGCAGTCCACCAAACAACTTCCTTCGTTTCGGGCAAAAGCAGGCTAGGTCTTTTGGACCTAGGGTCAACATGAGACTTTTACAAGAATGAATTCCAGCGCAGAGGATGTCAGTCATATGATGAACGAAATTTTAGCTCATTTTAGCTCGAAACGAGGGAGGATGTCTCGTGGACTGCGTCAACCTGAACGTCGTATTAAAGTCAAACGGCTGAAGTACAGCAGAAATCATGCATCGGCTTCTAGTGAGATTGAATCTCGAATATCTTCTTCATGCACTTTAATACGAAATGAAAGTCTCCGCAGTAATAAAGGGTACTCGAAGCTATCAGGCAAGCAATAGAACATTCTTCAAAAAAGTGTGAATTGAGAATTGAATATTTTAATAAAAAAATAATGCATGTTGTATACAATGGGATTAGGTTCGTATTTCTTAGGGGGTAATCAGTTTGCCCATTGCCCCATGCAACTCTAGTGGTAGACCATTCTGGAGATGACGAAATTTTAGAAAGTCAACATTTCTCTTCAATTCGTTCTGTGGTAGAAACGCCCCTAAATACGAAGAGTAGCTGGTTTGAATTGATCTCCTCAAATAACATTGATGGGAAGACTTTCATTTCTTATCAATTATGATCGTAGGTCGATCTCGACAGAAAACAGCTGCTGATTCTTATTATTCGTCTTTAGAATGACGAAACTCGTCAGAGTTAGTCCTTTTTTCAAAAGACTCGAGTAGAGATTAAGTAATTAATCAAAGTTATAGACGATATTCCGTATTCTTACTTGTATATGTCATATATATGATCTACTGGTAGTCTCGAAAACCTGCTTTTAAACGAAAAATAAGTGACGTAGTCGATTTCAATAGGAAATACAACTTTGCTTCATCGACAATCCCACCACTCCACCCATATCATTATCGAAAAACGCAACTACCAGCCCATCATCGCCTTAAACGAAATAGGGTGAACATACCCATGTACTAATATGAGTTGAATTTGTGTACTGCTGGGGGTGCTGAGACATAAGCTAGGTCGAAATGCAGTCCACCCTATATGAGAATACCTTTATTGGAAAAATGAGGTTATGTAAAACATAAAGTCTACTCATAGCATTGTGAGGAAATTTAACTACAAATTCCCCTATAACCTTAACAAAATAGGAGAATATATTTCATTATATCATAAGTTTTTCGTCGGAAAACGCGAATTGAGAAAGTAGTACTACCGTTGAAAACAAGCTTTTAAGGAATAACAATATTTGGAAGAATAGGAACGCTGAAAGCCATTCCCATTAAAAACAGTCTTGAATAATAAACCTACCGAGGTTTGTAGAAAGAGCTGTGGCGAAGGAGTGAGGGAGGAGGAGGTTGATGAGGCAAATGGTGGTCGACCAGAAGCGCTTTTTGCTGGACTGCCTTCGCTGCTTGGAGCTCCAGGTGATCGCGAAGACCGGCTCTGAGGAACCAGGCCTCTGACGAGGCCACTAACCGCTTCACCTGCCCTTTTTCCATTGCCACTACTACTGCTATTGCCACCACCGCCAACGGAACTCGTCTGGTTTGGAGGTGAAAGGATCTGTAGTCGGCGCGACGACGCCTGTTGAGAGACAGCCGAATTTGGTTGGGGGGCTCGACTGTCATTGGAGCTGGCCCCATTGCTGGCTCCTCCGGTGGAGGTAAGGTCGATGCGCGAATCATCTAACCGTGGAGAAAGGACGCTGGCCATCTCTCCGGCCGCCGTCGGCTCACCGTTCTCCTCAGGACCAGAAGAAGATTCGGGGAAGTAAAAGCCGACTTGAATGTTCTGCAAAAGTAGTCAACATGGGAAGGGATATTGATGATAGCTATCGAAGTATGCAGAACCATATTCAGAATTATAGTAGGATATGCCAAACTCAGAGGTATGAAAGTAAAAGTATTGTGGCCCCTGATTTAGTCACAGTTTCATTCCAATGCACAGATTCGGTATGACCTCGTTTCCCCCAAATTTGTATTGTTTTTAGGGCGGCTTCGATGTTAACAGTAGAGAGATAGT